CCTATAAATTATAGACAAGTAAGTTATAATTCATGCTTCATGCAAAATATGGTGGTTTCTGTAGATTATGTAGATTATCATGACCAACAATATGTTAGCAGTACTTACGTTCTGTTTTTTCTTCTTTGAAGAAATAAATGTGGTCCAGTAGTTGCAAGAATTTTCTAGTAGCATATCTTTTTTTTTTTTTAATACTTCAAGTTCTAGGGTACATGTGCACAATGTGCAGGTTTGTTATATATGTATACATGTGCCATGTTGGTCTTAAATATGACTAGTTGGCTCACTAAGCAGGTTTATATAAGACCCACAGAAGATTATGGTAAACTTGAACAATGTTTATGTTGTGTAGAGAGACACCGGTGATTCCTTTAATACAGATCTTAAATGCATGTTCTAAACTTCACTTAATATATAGTTATTCTTTTAAAAAATTTACTCGTTTTTCTTAATTTTTAATTTCTTATTGCTCTATAATAGTTGTATTATAAAGTTATTTTTCTATAGTAACTGCTGTGTTTGGAGGACTATTGCTCATGCAGTTAATTGGGGGAGTCTTAGAAATTGCATGGCTAAACTTATTCTCTTTTTGTTTGTTTGCTATTATTTAGCAAAAATATTAATAAAATTACAATCCTTTAAGATTACTAAGAAATTCCTTGGATTATAATGTTAAAAATGGATATTCATTCATTCAACAAATATTTGTTGGGTAAGCACCGCATCATTCTAGGTGCTAGGAATGTGGCATTCACGTTGCCTTCTGTCACGGAGCTTACATTCGAGTGGGTGAGACAGACAGCAAACCAGTGAACCAAACCCACACGCACACATGCAGGGAGAGAAGACAATAAACTTGGCTGTGTTGGAACGGCAGTAGACCAGACAGTCAGGTTAGGGCTTTCTGATGAGGTGCCATTTGAATTGAGACCTAAAGCATGAAAAGCCAGTCTTGAAAGGTCAACCCAAGGAGCATCCCAGGCCAAGGGCACAAAAAATACAAAGACCCTGAGTTGAGGAAATGCCTGACGTGCTCAAAGAATAGAGGAGGTTGTGAGTGGCAGGTAAGGATGGAGGTGGGGAGTGGCAGGTAAGGATGGAGGTGGGGAGTGGTCCTAGCGTTGGGTGGACAGGCTCAGACCATATGGGCCCTTGTAGGCCTACGAAAGAATTCAGCTTTTCTTCTAAGTGCAGTAGGCAGTGCCTGGAGGATTTTATGCAGGGAAGTGGTGTGCTTTTTGTTTTCCTAAGAGGACCTTGGCTGCTCTGTGGAGAGGGGAGTGTTGGAGGCAGGAGGGAAGGCTGAACATCATCAAGTTATGATGGACCAGGTGAGAGATGATGGCAGTTCGAGGGAGCTCCAGGGATAGAACCCAGGGGACAGACCAGGCAGCATTAGGGTCTAGACAGCATTGCTGATGGGCTTGGGGATGGGAAAGGAGTTGAAAGTAGTATATCTTAGTGCAACACAAAAATGAGATGAGGTGGAGACAGTTATTTAGAACATCCAAATTCCATTTTGTTCTACATTCTGAGTTAAAAGTTATTGCCCATATTCATTATTATAGTGAAACTGAGCTTTTCCACAGCGAATGCCATTCAGACACACTTAAAGCATGCTGCCTCTTGGAGTTGGCTGTAATGAATGAAAAGAAATTAACCGAGAATATGGCAGTGAAACCAAACAAATTGTTTCCGCTAAATCTGTAAGGACAATCATGACCTAAACTTAAGCAGTTAATTTTGCTAATAGTCATTTCTTTTTTACAGAGAGTTCGAGTTTCTTCTTATGACCTATACAAAAATGTGGAAATAGTCCGACCTGCATTTTGGGGATCATAGTTAGTATTTTAGTATCTTTCATCTTCTGAGATGTTCTTAGTTATCTAATAGGCACACATTAGGAAGTATTCACCTCTCAAGTGATACCCAAGTGCAGAGGTTCTGGAATCTGCATTGATCCTCTCCCTCTTTGCCTGCTGATCCTATCTTCCTTTTCATCTGACTTTTAAAATCATCCCGGGTGACTTTCAGGGGCTAACTTATCACCTCTGTAAGAAAGCCGGCCTCAGTGCCCCTGTCCTATCCAGTGGAGGTGGAGTAAGAGAGAAGGAACCACAGGCCAGTGTCTCAGACTATCTGTGCCTGAGCTGTAGGGCCTGCTGTGGGGAGGGCGGGGCCAAACAGGTGAACTTCCCAACTCCCACCTCCGCTGCAGCTCGCACCAGCACTCAGCCAATCTTTACATATTTCTTATGTATTTATTGATTTAGAGACAGGGTCTTGCTCTGTCGGCCAGGCTGGAGTGCAGTGGCGCAATCTCAGCTCACTGTAGCCTCGACCTCCCGGGCTCAAGTGATCTTCCCACCTTAGCCTCCCAAGCAGCTGGGACCACAGGCATGTGCCACCATGCCCAGCTAATTTTTGTATTTTTTGTAGAGATGGGGTCTCGTCATGTTGCCCAGGCTGGTCTCAAACTCCTGGGCTCAAACAATCAGCCTGCCTTGACTGCTAGAAATGTTGGGATTATAGGTGTGAGCCATCACGCCCAACCCACATTAGGTTTTAGAATAATACTTTGTTTGGGCTGGGCGTGGTGGCTCACACCTGTAATCCCAGCTTTTTAAGAGGTGGCCAGACTGTAGTCCTAGCTATCTGGAAGGCTGAGGTGGGAGGATCTCTTGAGTTCAAGGTTGCAGTGAGCTATGATTGTGCCATTTCACTCCAGCCTGAGCCACAGAGCCAGACCCTGTCTTAAAACAAAACAAAACAAACAAACAAAAACAGCTTTTTTGGGGGGGAATAAAAGGATATGACAAGTCTTTTCTTTAAGATTTAAATACATTGTTCTAGGCAGTTGCAAACTTGCCCACTGAGGTGGTCCTAGCCCACATCATTCTGTCTTTTTTGAGTCACTAATATGAATTGAGGTTCACAAGCCAATGAGTGAAACTCACATCCCCCAAAGTGGGCCCAAGTTCACGCTCACTCTCGCCTGCTACTGCCCCACAAAATATCATAAGAATTTTTCCAAGGGCGTCTCTTTTTGATGCCTGTGACCCATAGGCCGCAGAAATGTGTGGCTTCTGAGCTAGGTCAGTTCCTGGCTTCTGCTGATTTTTCTCTCTTCCTTCTTTTCTGGATGTGGGTGCTCCTGTCTCCCTGTGGCCACTGGGACAATGTCTTACCCTTCTCATATCCATCTTGCAGAGAGTGGAGCTACAGTAGAGCTGATGGGAGCCCCATGTGGTCCAGGGAAGGGGGGCATTGAACTGCGCTGGGTTTGGGAAGGGGGTGAGGCCTGGGCCTTGGGCGCTGGAGTCCTGCTGCTTTGTCCAAGGCACCTGCTGGACTCTCCCCACACATGCTGATCTTCATCCCAGGCCCAGGTGCCTGATTTCGTCTAGCAAACCATTTCTTGTCTAGCTCATCAGAGCAGCAGGGACTCTGCACTCCTCCTGCAAACTGGGAACTATGGCTGGGCACAGCTTTAAGTACCTGACAGTGAGGAGGCTGGTCCATGCCAGAGCAGCCAGACACCTTGTCGGGGAGGGTGTTACTTGATGCCACAGGCCCACCTGAGTCTCGGTTTTGGTCAGCCATGGTAGCTTATTACGTGCTTGAGAAACAAAAAAGGAGAGAGTATGTACGTACATTTAGGAAATCAGATTAGAAACTTAACAGACCCCGTGAGCCCTTCTGTGTTCTACTGTGTTGATAATTTGCATCCTCTTTGTGTAGGACGTCTTTTCAAGTGCAACCTTGGAGAACCCCAGGTATAAAACAGGTGGCACTCAGGTGACAGAAGCTGGCTTTCCTGCTCTCCCAGCCTCTGCTTCTGCTGGGGGCACCTCTGTACCAGAAATATTCCAGGAAATTCTGGGCATCCTTGGAGCATCACTGGAAAATCACTGCACTGTGGCATAAAGATGAGAAATGAAGACCGGTATTTGCATTGTAGGTTGACATCTCAAGAGTCACCGTCCATCACCCCTCCGATAAGGAGTCTTCAGCCTCTCCTGCCTCCACGGGCCCTTTTAGTGTGCAGCAGGCCACAGTCTCTGAGGGAATTGTAATCTGCCTTCTCCCACCCCTCCCAGGCCATCATCCCCACGACCACCACAATCATCTTTCTGAAATCCACACCTGCCTTTGGCCTTCCACGGCTCACCACCCCTCATAGAATGCAGAGCTGGGACACTCAGCTCTTTGTTCATGGTCGTCCCTACCTACCTGTCCCCCTTCTCTTCTGTGCCCCAGAGAACATCTGCTTATAGGTCCCAGCCCCGCAGGGACACACCTACTCTTGAGCACTGGGTTCAGATTACACCTCCTTGGTGGAACCTTGGAACTTCCTGCTTCTGAGCCCCACCCTCACCTCCCGCGTGCTGTTATCCTCCCTCTCTCAGCGCCCAGGTGTTGTTCTGTTCTCTTGTGCGCCTGCCACACAACGTTGGGAACTTTGATCTACTTGTCTGTCTCCTCCGCTTAAATAGAAACTGAGGGCAGAGGTGTTTGGGGAGAGGCGCGCACTCCCGCTCTGCAGCTCCCGTGCCCCCAGCAGACGCGTAAAGGCGTTCAGTGTTTGAATGAATGAATCATCAAGTTACACAAATGCAATTTGTCGGGATATGAATGGCAGTTATTAAATAAATCAGCTCCAAGTTAATAAAAACGGAAATAAAAGCCTGTTGTGGCAAGACTCTCCGTACTAGGACTATTTAAATGAGATCTCAGATGTTAAAGGGCGGTTTTATTTGTTGAGGCAGTAGGAGCTTCCACTGCGTGTGAAAGTCTTTCTACCTGAGTGGGATTGGCTGTGGCTTCTGTGTTCAGAGTGGAATTGGCAAGCAGTTCTGCGTTCGGAGCTGACTGTGTTCATCAGACCAGGGCTGGGTGGGCGCGTGAAAGGGGGAGGGGTGTGGCTGGGTGAAGGTGTGCGGCTGACAGACGACCGGCTCTTTTAATGAACCGCTCACTTGAAAACTGTCTTTCCGCAGGTGATGTATCACCCATCAGTATGTCTCCCATCAGTCAGTCTCAGTTTATTCCACTCGGGGAAATCCTCTGCTTGGCCATCTCAGCAATGAACTCGGCAAGAAAACCTGTCACCCAAGAAGCACTGATGGAACACCTGACCACATGTTTCCCAGGTAACGAGGCGGGAACGGAGCGTTTTCCAGGTGGCGGTGTGCTCTGGTCACTCTAGGACTTCACATGGACTGTTCTTCCCATGTTTAAAGATAATAGGAAAAAACTCTTCCCCAAAACTGACCAGAAGCTTTCCTTACTTCTGTCATTAAAAATTCAGGCACCTGCATGACATCAAAAATAACTTCACTGCTTCCTTCAGCTGGAATACTTTTTAAATTGGCACCGAGAGGAAGAAATTAATTCAGAATTCATGAAGAATCTGGCAAAAATGACCCAGACTCCAGTCAGTCATTCTTTGCAATCTAATCTTTAAATACATGAACGTGAGGGTTCAACAACTGAAAACTTTAGTCCTGGGGAGTTAAAACTGCAGAAAGGGTCATGTCAAAAATTAACATATCTTACCTATTTGTGTCATGGCTTGATGAGTTTTAAGAAAATAATATTTGATAAATTAGGATTTCATTTTTTAAAAATAAAATATTTACTTTGTTCTTAAATATTATAAAAAGGAGGCAACAGTCCAGCCGTTGTGTGAGTGGCATTTGATGCTTTCAGTGCTGGAGGGCGTTAGGAAGGGTGACAAGCTGCAGAATGCAGGACCGTCTCTCAGGAGAGCCAGTGTATTGTCACCCCACCCCCAATGGAGATCCTGCCAGAGCTGCCAATCTTATGTTTCAAGAGAATCTGGAAATTTGGTCTTACGTGAAATGTCTACATTTCTTAAATATTGACAATTGTATGTATGTATACGTTTTAACATTTGTGTGCCAGCAACGTGCAAGTCAAATGAAATACATTATCAGGCTACCAGTTTACCAACTTGGTGTGAACTCAGCCTGTTTCCAGATTGAAATAGAGATTATATTAAAAGGGAACGTTTGATATATTTTTCATTCAACTTAGAAGAGATCTTAGTAAATATAAGCTGTTAATTGTATCAGTTAGCTTTTGCTACAAAAAATCTGGGTAACAAACAACTACAGAACATCAAAGGCCTATGGCAACAAGCATAGATTTCACTCATGTCTCTGTGGGTTCCCCAGGGGTCAGCTGATCCAGGTGGGGTCCAGCAGGGTAGTTTTGCTCCATCTGTACCCATCCTATTTAGAAAAGGGGGCAAATGGAGATCTCTTTCACTCATGGGATGTCAGAGGCACCAGAGCACAAGCCCATTGCATGAAGGCTCTTCAAGCTTTGTTCATGCCAGCCCCATTAACATTGCAGTGACCAAAGCAAACCTGCTAAACTCAAAGTGAAGGTGTGGGGAAGTGCGCTCCACACATGGGAAGAGAACGGGAGGACTAGTTCTAAGCTGAGTAGAGATCTTATCTACCACATTGGTTTCCCTGCTTTTCCTTGTGTCCCAGAGAAACGTTTTCTCCCTCTCCTTGTGATATTTCCTCCTTTTTCAATATTCTAATTACTATGTTTGATAATATGTATGTGGTTCAAAATCTCTAACATGAACCCACCCTTGCAACATACAAATTATTTTAAGCTTTCCAGCATTTTAGTATCTCTGAATCGTCTTCACTATCTGATTGCCTATCTCTTTTTGTTAAGTCCTAGGCAAACCCCTTTCCTTTCAGTAGTGAGAGAAACAGAATCCCAGGTGAGAGCCACCTGAGTGGGGACAGGTAGTGTGGGCAAACACGACAGTCTTGGAGGAGGCACCTGCTTTCTGCCCTGTGAGTGCGTAGCCACTTCTGACATTGAACAACCCAGCAGCTTTTTAAATCCTTGTATTTTTATTTAGCTTCATGAGAAATCACACGGCGTTTCTAAAGTTGCTTATATACCACCCATTTTGGGGCTATAAAGAATGGAAAGAACACAGAACCAGTGTGTAATAGTAAGATGCTCCTCACTGCCAAGCAGCTGATAACAATATCACTAACTTGGAATGCTTTGTGGAGTAATCCATAGGTCATTTGTACTTGAAAGAATAACTGTTTTGCTAGCTTTTATGGCAAGGGAACTTAAATCCCAAGGCCCTGGTTTTCAGACAGACGGAGGAGCTTTTTCTTCTGTGTGACACTGATGACTCATTTGTCAGCCTCAGAAGTTTGCAGGGACACCATACAAACCCGAGTCTAGCACAGGAGTTTGCTAACCTGCAGGCCTAGTGTGGCCCACCACCTGTTTTTGTAAATAAAGTTTTATTGGAACACAGCCGTGCCCATTTGCTCATGAATGATCTTTGGCTCCTTATGCAATAGTGGCAGAGTTGAGTAGTGGCAATGGAGGTCGTATGGCTAAAAGCCTAACATATTTTCTACGTGGTTCTTTACAGAAAAAGTATGCTGACCCCTGGGCTAGGGCATGGTGGTAACTATTTAAAGTTATGTTCAGCAATAGCTCCAGATTTTAAACTGTATTTCATAAAATATCAAAGTTTGTTTCCTGCCTGCCTGCCTTGTTTCCTTTCTTTTTAGCTCCCTTTCTCCTTTCCTTTCCTTCCTTCCTTTGCTTTTTTTTTTTTGGTCTGTCTTTTGCTATCACTTAAGCTATAGCAGAAGAAAATATTTTAGAAAACCTAACCCTTTAAATTCCACTTGAAAATCATATTTTCATGACAGTGCTAAAACTCTGGAGGGATTTAAAGATCGTATTTATATTTTTTGTTTTTTAAAGACAAGAATAAAGTATTTAGTTCTTTTGTATCTTACTACTGAAAAATAAAGTTTTTGAGCCAAAGTATTATTAAAATATTTGAATCTCATATTTAATGTATATTTTATGAATCAAAAGTATAGCCTAGAATTTGGCTTCTTTTCTTGTTTTGGGTATCCATATTCTAAAGAAAGTTTAGTGAAAAGTCTTTAGTAAAAATTTCTGATACATCAAAACTTAAACCTTTTTATCACTTTTCTATAAAAGTGAAAAAAAGTTGGCTGAATTCTTGAAAATCAACTCAGCAACTTTTATCTATCAGTTTCCATTACAGAATCAAGAATATTTTTAAAAGGTTTATAAAGAATAATACTTGCTTCTCATATTTCTAAATAACTACACATCCATTCATCCAGAATGATCATTTAAATTGGCCTGGTACCTGTTAAGCTGTTACAACTGAATCTTTCTGGGAGGAAGGCTGGTCTTCAGGGACATAGAGATAGACCTATAAGGCTAGGTATGGAGCTGAACTTGACTTTAGAGATTGCTGGAGAATATTAATATTACATATACTGTGTTCTGTCTCCCATTCGTCTCCTTATGTCAGCTCTTATCGAATTCTTCCTCAGCCAGCGTTCTTCACAAACAAGAATAATCTAACGAGGCTCATTAAAGGGTTTCACTTAAAAGTGCTTATCATACAGAACAGGTCCACGTGCTCTCTGTTCTGACAGTTTGTCAGATTTGCAGGACTAAAGCAATACATAGAGGCTGATTGTGGTGGCTCACACCTGTAATCCCAGCACTTTGGGAGGCTGAGGTGGGCAGATCACTTGAGGCCAGGAGTTCCAGACCAACCTGGCCAATATGGCGAAACCCATCTCTACTGAAAATACAAAAATTAGCCGGGCGTGGTGGCACGTGCCTGTAATCCCAGCTACTCGGGTGGCTGAGGTACAATAATCACTTGAACCTGAGAGGCAGAGGTTGCAGTGAGCCGAGATTGTGCCACTTCTCTCCAGCTCGGGTGACAGAGTGAGATGTTATCTCAAAAAAAAAAAAAGCAATACGTAGGTCCAAGTAGATCACAGCGTCATGCAGTGTTTTTAAATAGTTATTTTTGCTTTGAAAAATGTAAAGGTGTGGAAGAGGTCAGGTTCAGGCCTGTTAGGATGTAAAGTATATTTTTGTTCTTTAAGCCCTCAACATCTGCATTCATGATAAACTTTCAGAGTCGAATTTGGAAGTAGTGGAGTATGCAAATGTTAAATATCCATCACAACCATCACTTTCTCAGGTCAACCCTACAGATTTCTGGTAGAACCCTGAATTTCACAGATGATCAGTCAGTATACTAGGGCTTAATAATAAAACGATAATCATAAACATAAGCAACTTTCAGTTAAGTCTGAAAACTCTCAGGTCATAGCATGGAAAATGGATTGGACGGGGGCAAAGAATGTTTCTAGTGTGCATTATCAAATTAAACATTATTTGATTGATATACCTGGAAACCCAAGACATAAGAAAATGTAAGCACAAATACTCTATGGAAATAGAAAATTGTTTCTCTATTTTTTTCTCTATTTTTCTTTTTATTCTTTCATTTGAGAACCACCAGAGAACTTGTTTTTAATTGTAAGTAAAGATGATTGCATTGTAGTCATGATTCTATATATTAATAGCTTTATGAGTTTCCTAAGATCATCATTTGGAAGACCTACAGTCAGCAAATTCTATAATAAAATTAAACCTTTGCTTTATAGTAATGCTATTTTTATCACGCATCCCTCAGCTTTCCCTTTTTAGGAGCCATGGTAAACTGGTCAATCATGAATACTTATAAATGAACCTTATGAGTTTTTGAGGAAGTTTGTCACATTGTTGACTGAAAGTATGCTACCGTTTAAGATATGGTCAGTTTTAAACATGGGCTTGCTATCTTGATTACTGTGCCAAACAATGACAGTGGGCATCATTCATGAGACTGCGGTGCAGAAGTGTGCCCTCATCTCAGAAGGTATATACTGTGTCAGTGGTGTCCCCTGAAGTTATTCAGTGGAAGGCACTTTGGGAGGCAGAGGCGGTAAGATTGCTTGAGCCCAGGAGTTCGAGACCAGCCTGGGCAACATGGAGAAACCCCATCTCTACAAAAAATATAAAAATTACTTGGGTGTGGTGGTGTGTGTCTGTCGTCCCAGGTACTCAAGAGGCTGAGGTGGGAGGATCACCTGAGCCTGGGGAAGTTGAGGCTGCAGTGAGCTGAGATCTTGTCACTACACTCCAGCCTGCGCAAGGGTGAGACCCTGTCTCAAAGAAAAAAAAGAAAAAAATTCATTTCTATTTTGCACAGAAAGTATTATAAAATTCAAAAACAAATTTTGTTATTATTGGTCTTAAAATCATTTGTATAAAAACTAATGTTAGCTTACCAGAAGTAAAGTATTGGACTAAAAGGAAACCATGCGACTCAAAAATTAAATAATGATATTAATACATTATCTATGAACAATGCTACCTTTTCTGCCTTGGTCACTAAGGATGCCTTCTGGGATGGTCACGCAAATGGGTGTGTATGTTACCTCGCATTCATGGATTTTCTCCCCTTGAGAATTCCAGGCCATTTCTAATACCTTGATTTCCTACTTTGGAAGGACTTGGGGAGTTGAAGCAGCTCAGCTCACCCAGGTGTTCTAGGTTGGTGCTCATCATTGTTTGAAGGCAATCTGGTTTTCCATGCGTCCCGACCCGAAGTGGAGACTAACTCCCAGCTGATATTTATTGAGCACTCCCTGTGTGCCATGCCCTGCTCCACACACACTAAACTCCTTTCACCTCAGCCCTGTGGCTACAGGTACTATTGCTATCCACCTTGTGATGGCAGTAAATGAAGGCTCAGAGAGGCCGAGCTGCCTGAGGTGGTGCCAGCTGTCTTCATTTGCTGGGACTGCTGTCACAAAGTGCAGGTGGCTCAACCAACCACCGTTTATTGTCCTACAGTTCTGGAGGCCAGAAGTCCAGAATCACGATCTCAGCAGGCTTGGTTGTCCTTCTGAGAGCTGTGAGACCCCTGTCCTCCGCTTATGGATGGCCACCTTCTCTGTGTCTCCTCAGTATCTTCCCTCTGTGCCTTTCTGTCTCCAGCTTTCCCCTTTTCAGAAGAAGGACATCAGTCGTATTAGATGAGAGACTGCTCTAATGACCTCATTTTAGCTTGACTCTAAAGACCCTTTCTCCAAATAAGTTCATATTTAAAAGGGGTTAGGGGTATTAGGGGTTAGGATTTCAACATACAAATTGGGATGGGGAGTGCGTAATTCAACCAGCGACGCCAGCCAGCAATGACAGGGCAAGGGTTTCTTTTTTTTTTTTTTTTTTTTTTTTTGAGACGGAGTCTCGCTCTGTCGCCCAGGCTGGAGTGCAGTGGCCGGATCTCGGCTCACTACAAGCTCCGCCCCCCGGGTTTATGCCATTCTCCTGCCTCAGCCTCCCGAGTAGCTGGGACTACAGGCACCCGCCACCTCGCCCGGCTAGTTTTTTGTATTTTTTAGTAGAGACGGGGTTTCACCGTGTTAGCCAGGATGGTCTCGATCTCCTGACCTTGTGATCCGCCCGTCTCGGCCTCCCAAAGTGCTGGGATTACAGGCTTGAGCCACCGCGCCCGGCCTAGGGTTTCAATCCAGCAGCCTGGCCCAGCCTTTTGGTCTCCACCTTCCACTGCCTTATTCGTGTTAGGCTGAACCACATGAAGCTGCTATTTTTGTGAGTCAGATGGTTACATAGTGGCAGTTTCATACGATTCAACCTGACCGATTTCAGATCAGTCTTCTAAGTATTATCACCCTTTATGTGCCTGGCACTGAGAAATGAAGAATACCCAAGAAATGAAGTAAGTGGGCTGGAACCTGGAGAAGTTAAACTCTCTTAAGAATTTATACTCTTAATTCTGTCTCCTAAGGTAGATGAGGCATAAACATGCACAAAAACCCTTTGAAAACAATGATCAGTCATACAAAGAAGCTTTCATCATTTTTATCTGGTGTTTCTATTCTAGCCAATATGGCAATTTTGGAAAAACAGATACAGAGTGTCAAAGCCTTCACTCGTGTATTTATTAGGGCGCTTTGGTTAGAAATTAGAAAAACCACCTTCATCTTACTGACTGATGCCAAAAAGGAGAACATTCTTACATGAATTTTACCCGTGCTGCAGTCAGCTTCCAAATGGAAGGCGATGACACCAAAATTAGAGGGTACATCATAAACAGTAGTCAAGTCTAGCTGCCCTTTTATATAATTCACAAGACTAAGTTTATTAAGTAAAATCTTTAACAATGAGCACATACAGTAACTCCTCTGTGGTAGCCTCCATATATGTTAGATGTGTTTTTTAATATCAAGGTAGATACTTTCACTCTGCTTCTCTGGTTGCTTTTATATCATATTATGGAAAACATTTTTCATTTTTCTCTCATTTAAAATATTCTGTCTTTCAAACAACAGGTAACAACAGTAGCAATCTGTCTCCACCTAACTTCCATCTCTGTCTTCACAGCTTTTATATCTGCTCATTCTGTGGGTAGTAATTTAGGAGTTATCCAAGAAGGCGAGGATTTGCACTGAACTTAATGAACACCTTTGTCTGAATAGTGCGTCCTAGCCATGTCGTGGTACTTGGCATCTTGGCAGAATGAATAGGATCCTGGAAATCAGGAATCCACATGTTCCGTCTTGATTCTCACAAGTGGATTTTTTTGTTGTTGTTTTGTTTTGTTTTGTTTCAGGTGTTCCAACCCCAAGCCAAGAAATTCTGCGGCACACGCTGAACACGCTGGTACGGGAGAGGAAAATCTACCCAACTCCAGATGGCTACTTCATCGTGACCCCGCAGACCTATTTCATAACTCCTTCCCTCATAAGAACTAACAGTAAATGGTACCATTTGGACGAGAGGATACCTGACCGGTCTCAGTGCACCTCTCCGCAACCCGGGACCATCACGCCCTCTGCCTCAGGCTGTGTCAGGGAAAGGACATTGCCCCGAAACCACTGCGACTCTTGCCACTGCTGCAGAGAAGACGTGCACAGCACACATGCACCCACCCTGCAGAGGAAGTCTGCCAAGGACTGCAAAGACCCTTACTGCCCCCCTTCTCTGTGCCAGGTGCCACCCACTGAAAAGAGCAAAAGTACTGTAAATTTTTCCTACAAGACAGAAACTCTCTCAAAACCTAAAGACAGTGAAAAGCAGTCAAAAAAATTCGGGCTAAAGTTATTCCGGCTAAGTTTTAAAAAAGACAAGACCAAACAGCTGGCCAATTTTTCTGCCCAGTTTCCTCCTGAAGAGTGGCCCCTGCGAGACGAGGACACGCCAGCTACGATCCCCCGGGAAGTAGAGATGGAAATCATTAGGCGCATTAACCCAGACCTGACCGTGGAAAATGTCATGCGGCACACCGCCCTCATGAAGAAACTGGAAGAAGAAAAGGCCCAGAGGAGTAAAGCCGGGTCCTCTGCCCATCACAGCGGAAGGAGTAAAAAGAGTAGGACTCATCGGAAGTCCCATGGAAAGTCTCGGTCTCACAGCAAGACACGAGTGTCTAAAGGAGACCCCTCCGATGGTTCACATCTGGATATCCCAGGTGAAAGAGAGTATGACTTCTGTGATCCTCTTTCCAGGGTGCCCAGGGAGGGCTGCTTCATCATTGAACACAAGGGAGATAACTTCATCATGCACAGCAACACCAACGTGCTCGAGTCCCACTTCCCCATGACACCAGAATGGGATGTGTCCGGTGAATTGGCCAAAAGGAGAACTGAGATGCCTTTTCCTGAACCTTCTAGGGGAAGCTCCCACTCAAAAGTGCACCGAAGCCACAGCCATACCCAGGACCGGAGGTCCAGGAATGAGAGATCCAACAAAGCCAAGGAGAGATCCAGGTCGATGGATAACTCCAAAGGCCCTCTGGGTGCTTCTTCTCTAGGGACGCCAGAAGACCTGGCTGAAGGCTGCAGCCAAGGCGACCAGACCCCCAGCCAATCCTTCATTGACGACAGTACTTTAAGGCCTGCACAGACTGTTGGTCACCAAAGGGCTCACATTTCATCCACAAGCTATAAAGAGGTGTGTATTCCAGAGATAATCAGTGGCAGCAAGGAACCATCCAGCGCTTGTAGCCTTTTGGAGCCAGGCAAACCACCTGAGAGTTTGCCGTCCTATGGCGAACTCAACTCTTGTCCAACAAAAACAGCCACAGATGACTATTTCCAGTGCAACACCTCTAGTGAGACAGTGCTCACGGCACCATCACCTCTGGGAAAGAACAAGGAGGACCATGACACTCTGACTTTGGCAGAAGGGGTGAAAAAGCTCTCCCCATCTGATAGGCAGGTCCCCCACTCCTCCAGGGAGCCTGTAGGACACAAGGAGGAGTCACCAAAAGGGCCGGGTGGGGGCCCAGCTGCTTCGGGAGGAGTGGCTGAGGGGATCGCCAATGGCCGCCTCGTCCAGCACCATGGTGCCGAGCCCAGCAGCTTGGACAAGAGGAAAGAGATATTTAGCAAAGACACCCTGTTCAAACCTCTTCACAGCACCTTGTCTGTAAACAGCTATCACAAATCCAGCCTGTCCCTCCTCAAATCTCACCCGAAGACACCTGCTGACACATTGCCAGGCCGATGTGAGAAACTGGAACCGTCCTTGGGGACCTCGGCGGCACAAGCCACGCCTGCTTCCCAACGTCAGCAGGAGTCAGGAGGGAACCAAGAAACCTCTTTTGACTATTACAACGTCTCTGATGATGATGACTCTGAGGAAGGGGCAAACAAGAACACGGAGGAGGAGAAAAATAGAGAGGACGTAGGCACCATGCAGTGGCTCCTCGAGAGGGAGAAGGAAAGAGACTTGCAGAGGAAATTTGAAAAGAACCTCACCCTTCTCGCCCCAAAAGAAACCGACAGCAGCAGCAACCAGAGAGCCACCCATTCAGCCCGGCTCGACAGCATGGACAGCAGCAGCATCACAGTGGACAGTGGATTCAACTCCCCACGGTAGGGAGAGGGGTCTCTGTGCACATATGCACCTAGCGGGGCCTGGGGCTTTCTGCACGTAACTTGACAAGTTTCTGATTTCGTAGTCTCAGTTCTGTGGATGAGGGTTAAGAGTTGTATGGTTTGTATTTTTAACAATCTGTTTCTGACTTCTTTTTCAGGAATTGAAAAACATGTTTCTGCACCTGCAGAGATCACCAATCTGGACTGGTGGGTTGGCTCCTCCCCTCAAACTTGCATCAGTCTGATCTAACTAATACCAACATTTCCAGTATTTTTTCTGCTACGTTCATATTGCCACCCATGCTAAGAGAAGGATGTTTTTTAAGTCCTTCAAAAATAGTAACTTTTTGAGTCGAATAAATAGCCTGGGGGCGGGGGAGGAAGATAGGGGTTGGGAGTAAATTGATTGATGCTAGGATAGGGATCCCTCTAGTGAAGATATAATAGCAGATCTCAAAACCTCTCCAATGGATCTAGAAGCTTGTTACCATTTGGATCCCCGTGTTCTGTGCAGCCTGTCCCTCTGGCTCACACATCTTCCTTTCGCCGCCAAGAAATGGAATATTTCTTCCCTCACAGTGAGGGCAGGGGCCTGTGCTCTGTTAGATCAAAGCACGTGCCATGTTTATTTCTCCTCCACAGAATTGACGGAGCCCCTCTGGGCAGTCTAATTGTAGTTCCTTCTTGGTAGTAGGTGTTAGTTCAGCAAAGGGTTGACAGTTGAGAGTTGGTGGTGCCCAGTGGTCATGGCCAAAGCTCTCGAGTTGTGCAGGGATTCAGAAAGCAAACCAGAGTCTGTGCAGCTTCCTTTTTTCTCCTTAACTCTTTCTTCTCCTCAAAGAGCAACATGGGACCTAATTCTCCTTCTAACTTCTACTCCAGATTGGTGACTCTGAGATGCAGAAATACTACTGAGAGATTGACATTTCTTATCAGCTGTGATTCCCAAGATTTTGCAATACTTATGATTTTAACACGGATTCAGATAGGATTATGTACTTCATATATTTATTTTAATTATTAAGAATTAAAATTAATTCTGTTGTGATCATTTCACTATATCCCTGGATAATTTTGGAAGTGAGCATCACACAGCTGGAACTGGGAATCATTAATTCCTTCATCCCATACTAGGCCTTTGTGATTTATTAAAGGGCTGGTTTATTATTATTATTATTATTATTATTATTATTATTATTTTGGTCATGGAGCCTTTCTTCCAAGTTAACATGTATGTGGGAGTCTAATGTCTGCACAGAGCTGAGAGATGGCCTTGGTGATAGTGGAGACTGTGGGCCCCAGTCCCTCTCCCCATCCCTCGAGGAGCCTCTGAGACCTCAGGGAGCCACGGGCCTCAGCCTGAAAACCACTAGTCTACTAAGTGGCTTTTCTGAGAGATCATTTTTGCTAAATAATTTTTTATCTCAAATCAGATATTAATTTTCCGATTTATTTTAACTATCCTTTTTCCCTTCATTTTCCTGTTCTACTCGTTTTTCCTCTTGAGTTCCTAGTAGTGGATACCGGATTAGCAAAACAGAAGGTCTGTAATCCATGGTAGAAGTTCAGAACAGTTGCTGGTGGAAGGTGTGGTGTCTTTGCTTGTGTCTTTCTGTTCTACTGTTTCTCATTATGTAGTCTCTGCCTTCTACCTGCTTTTCACATGCTGGTTTTAAACCTTTCTCCTTTCCCTCTGGGCCCCTGGGCTTCCACAGACAGGAAGCTGCCATACTAAGGAGATAGTTGCTAAGGAGACACTGGGAGTAGTTTAATGGGTTCTAGCTAGAAAACTTTCCATTGCATAACATTGAAAGTTTTTTGTTTGTTTGAAGGTAAACAGAGATATTCATGAAATGGTTGAACCAGTATCTCTACAGAAAATATTTTACTATCTCTAAACTTGGGGTGCAGAATATAGAATTTATGACTGGGATTATTTCTTGAAGTAAGTTGATTTTCAGTTGTTTCATTGTGTACTTAAAGTTAAATGCTTTGCCATGACAGAAGGTAAAGCTTCTTCTAAAGAGACAACCTTCGCACAATAGCCACGTCTGCCCACTAATATTAAGTAGAATTTGCTCTACATGAAAACATGTATCACCTATACATTTTATGTAGTTAGTAGAGAATCTACAGACAATTGCTAAATTTACCCCTTTCGTATTTACTACCCTTTGATTAGAAGCTAGGTGACAAACTACTTTCTACACACCATAATGAAGTCACGGAGTTGTCTCGCTGATCCAGGAGTATGTTCTGCAGAGGAAAGTGACTTCTAGAGACTTTACTTTCCAGTCTGGGGACTGTTTTAGACAGATAGCATTATCATGCTCATACCTTACCCTTGCTGTGAGACATAGGAATCTTTATTAATTTTTTTTAGAGACAGGGTCTCACTCTGTTGCCCAGGCTGGAGTGCCGTGGTGATTGTAGCTCTCTGCCTCCTGGAACTCCTGGGCTCAAGCAGTCCTCCCAGTTCAGCCTTCTGAGTAGCTGGGACTATAGATGTGTGACATCATGCCTGGTCATTTGAAAAAATATTTTTGTAGATCCTTCTGCCTTGGCCTCCCAAAGTGCTAGGATTATAGGCATGAGCCACCGTGCCCAGCCCTGACATGAAAAGCTTAAGCAGGCCATTTATTAAAATCTTTCAGTAAATAAGCTGCAACCAACCAACCAACCAACCAACCAAAAAGACCCCAAAAGGTGATTTTTCTCCACACCCCAGGGTTTCAGTGCTGGCTCAGAAGTCATGTTCCGCCACATTTCCAAAATTCTTTAGTCCTTTTCATTAGAAATTAAAGGGGATGTAGATGGAAAAAGGGTAGAAACTTGAACTATGCTATGAGATCTAATATTGAAAATGAAAAGTCTTGACGTGAAAAGCCTGCGATTCCAAATGTGAGGCCTAAAGCTGGTGGATGAACACAATATGAAAATCAAGAGACCAAAGGCTGCCAGGGGTATATCTGCCTAATGTATTGCACGAACGTGTGCTGTAGATGCCTGGGGCCAGGGGAACACATGCGCACAGAAGGACGAACAACACAGCCACTTGGTCCATTTCTCCTCCCTATAAAATCCTGAAATTCTATTTTTAAGGTTGCACTCCATTAGCTCTCTTTAAAAAAAAAAAACCCAACTTTTGGAATTTGAGGAATATTTTTACTACTAACATTCCATCTCCTTTAACTTTTTCATCAGCATATCTGGAGCCCTCAGTGTGAACGTCACAGACTGTAATCATTATTGCAACAATAATGAAATACATTCTTTGAAGAAGATGAAGTACCGTACATATTCACCACTATTAACATGTTGGCTGTGATTGAAGGTGGGCAAAGGGATCTTATCGTAGAGACAGACCCCAGCTCAGATGATCTATTGTAATATGTGTTTACGGTGTCTAGTATACAGCAGGCACTCAATAAATGTTGAGCCCACCCCTCGAAAGCTGGTTTAAGAGTGAATCCTTTGAACCTTAAAATGTATTTTCCCATAGAAAATATGTCATTTGTAATACATGGATTTTGAAGCGAACCCACAGTCACTATTTATTTCATTATATGCTAGGTGTGTAACAGAAATAATCCACATTTTCTACCTTATTAGTGTAGATTCTTCCTTGATGCTTATTTCTTCTTCACAGTCACCCTAGGAGTAGGTAAATCCCATCATAACTCTCTATTTTGGAGATGAGGAAGTCAGATACTATAAAAAGTTGCTTTAGTGATTAAGAATGAAACCAAAGGAATGTGTCATGAAATCTTCGGGGTTTTGCATCTTTCCTGCCCCTCCTCCTTCCTCCGCCTGCTGCATGCCTCAGTGGTAGCTCTGGCAAAGCCACTGGTGAATTTTCCTGGGGGACCTGTCATGTAGACAAGTCTAGCACTTTCCCTTTTAGTGATGACATTTTGGAGTGTCCTTTAGGTTTGCTCAGATTTACCATAAGCATTATGAAAAACTTGACTTCTCTCTATAAGTGGATTACCTTTCTGGAGGCACCCTTGACATTCAAGAAAATTCCAGGGTTTTTTTTGTTTTTTTGTTTTTGGTTGTCAGTGAACAAACTGCCTTTTAAACAATTAACTCTTGGCTTCTTGGTGAGAAGCAAACTCAAAGCCACAAAGAGTTAGGCTTAAATAACCTCTTGGAAAGCGCTATCAGAGCACAGGATTCAGACAAAATTGCTGTCGGCCTAGGATGGGAATGAAAGAGAGGAGAGGACATCTCCGCTGTAGTAGTTTGACCTGTTAACTAGCTCTAGCAGGCTTAAGTCAGATGTGGGGACCAACGCTCAGAGAATATTTCCTAAGCGTTGACTCTGCCTCATGCAGTGGATGTTTTGAGAATGTTCTGGCTTCCTCAGTCTCTGTAGCTGACAGAGTTCTTGTAGCCACAGTGAGGTTCTGGAACAGGAAACCTACTCAGTTCTTCTCAATGTGGGCCAGTCATCTGATTTCTGCCATTGCCCTATGCATTTGAAATCTTAAATGTTCTAAATATCTTAAAGCAATGAAATAGATTCAAATGTTTCTAACTTGGAAAAAGTAAAAGAGAGAGCAAAATAATACAACTTTTAAATCACATCTCTTCTATACGAATTATTTTAAAAGACAATATTTCACCTATAATCCCAGCGTTTTGGGAGGCCAAGGCAGGCAGATTGCTTGCACTCAGGAGTTGGAGACCAGCCTGGGCAGCATGGCAAAACCCAGTCTCTACTAAAAACACAAAAATTGGCCGGGTGTGGTGGCACATGTCTGTGGTCCCAGCTATTCGGGCGACTGAGGTAGATGGATTGCTTGAGCCAGGGAGGTGGAATTTGCAGTGAGCTGAGATCACACCTCTGCACTCCGGCCTGGGGGACAGAGCAAAACCTTGTCTCCAAAAAAAAAAAAAAAAAAAAAAAAACCAAAAAAACCCAAAAATCCAAACAAAAACAGTCCTGCCGAAGTGAGGCAGAAATGAATGGAAACTTAACAAATCAATGGGGAAAAAAAATCTACAGTCCTTTATCGAAAATATAATGTATTTTAACTAACGTGTTAAATTTTGAAACAGTGCAATAAAACATTTAAAATGAATTTTATTCTCATCTGTGCAGGAAATGCTCAGGGTCCCCCCAAAAAGGGCATGCTTAGAGTCCCCCAAAGTCAAAATCTAATCCAGAACGAAAATGGAATCTTTAGGATAAAATTATCAAGTGTGTTCAGGAGCGGCTATGCCAGTGAATTTCCAGCCTGAAATGAAATCATGACTTAGGTGTATTTATGAGTATCCATTTTAAAAACCACTGCGAGAGCTAGCTATCACCTCAAATTTTGAAGTCGTTTCCTTGAGTGTGAAAAGAAGGAGAAGACATTTCAAAGTGCATTTAGCTGTTTAAAAACCCTTTATTCACTGAGTGTGCTGCTGATTATTATATGTCTGTGGAAGCTTCTGGAGCCCGTGGTGGAGAGGCAGATGTGAATAATCAGTCGAGATGTATATTGATATGACATTATGAACCAACAGAGGAAATCCATTAACGACATCATTTGCTCTTCCTCTGCGGCTCAATTTCTAATTATTTATGTTCCAAACAAAACAAAACAAACCCTTTTTACTCTTTTAGTACTCGGGAGAGCCTGGCTTCCAACACATCAAGCATTGTTGAAAGTAACCGTCGTCAGAATCCTGCTCTGAGCCCGGCGCATGGTGGAGCTGGTCCAGCCTTCAACTTCCGAGCGAGCACGGACCCGCCGACAAATGAAGCTGAGAAGCTACAGAAACCTTCCAACTGCTTGCAAGCTTCTGTTACTAGTGTGTGATAGTCCTTCTGCCTCAGATCTTCTGTCTCATTCGATACAGCAAAGTTTACGACACTGGGACTGATGTTTACATCTTTGGAAAGACAAGCATCTCAACCACAGTTTTTGTGTTTACTTAAACTGTGCTGCTAAGTAGGGCTAGGGCAAAAAAACAAAAAAAAATCTTTATTTCAGAGTATTGCTTTTCACATTTATGGCTCTGTAGCAACTGAATAACAGTAGGGGTGATATGTATACTTTTGCTTCACTAATTGTATCTGAGCACACATAGGAAAGTCTAGACACTGTAAGTGTAATATGCATTTTCAATGTCATGCAGTTGCCAATTCCATTTTAAAATGCCACAGATGCGTGTTGCTCCCAGTCTGTGGTTAAACGGTGCCACAGAACTGATCCTTGACACTTCCAAAAAAAACAAAAAGCAAAAAAACAAAAAAAAACAAAAAAACTAAGTCACCACGAAATGTCAAATGCCAGGGTCCACCTTGAGGGAAATAGATGCCAAACTAAGTAGAAGGGACCCTGGCCCTTTGTGTGTGAATTGTTTATGCACCAGTCATTTTTCACTGTGAGTTTTCGTGACACTATTTTGCAGGAGCCCATGGAAGTGTGTGAGAAGGGGTCGCAATGGAAATCGCTGGGAGTGAATGTTTTCAGGATTTTGTTTTCCGGTGTAACAGATGCTTGTCTGATTTTTTAACCTTCCATGATCACAAACAGGAATATAGGCCTTTGAATCTGAAGTGGACAAAGGAAAGGAATTTCCAATCTGGCTGGGGCACAGCACTAGGTGATGGGAGAGGTGATGTGGACTTGTAAAAGGCATTACTCACATATTGAAGGAAGAGAATTTCCTCCTTGTGATACTTAGGATGACCCTATCTTACTCAAATAGATACAATAATTAGTTTGTTTAAAAGCAAAATGTTCTTTGTGATACAAATGAAGAGTATGGCCTGAGGATGTTATTCTTTCTAATGGAAGGACATAAATCTATTTTATGTAGTTTTAGATAGAATGCCTAAATTAGGCTGTGGGAGATAATTTTTAGTGGTTATAGGAAAGAGCAAATTTAGGGAGAGTTGAACTTCAGGCCTTTTATTCCTGGGAAGATATCTATAGAGAAAACTTTTAAAATAATTTTTGATTAGAAATATACATGTGCCCATGTAATAAACAACAGAATGTGCTCATTCTGCTAGTGTGGTATAATCCTAATTTGTACTCCCCTAAAATTTATCAGAATAACAATTATGCATACATGAACTATGCCAGAGTAATGTTTACAGATACTTTGTAACCAATTTCAGGAGGCGTTTTTAGGTGGATGTGTAGTTAATTAGCCCAACTTATTTCAAAATGGTTTGTTAACATTTTGCTTTGGTTTCCAATGTCATGTTGAACACAAAGAAGACCCAGCAGCAAAGGGATGACCAATAATTTCATCTTATAGCAAACAGACATTCCAACATTCCTATGTTTTATTTTCTGAGAACAGTGGAACAGATCTGTAGTAATGGAATATTATTTGCAAAAGGGTTACGTAGGACACAAGTAAGTGTTCTGACATAAAGTTTTATTTAGTTCAGTGGCATGTGCTGCTGGGAGCCATACACCATAAAATATATATATATCCCAAAATAAATCTAGAATATTTTCACCTCCGATTTCAGTAATTGGCATATGATTTGTGAGACACATCTGTTTTTGTATTAGGTTTAATCACTAGCAATCTGTTTAAAGAATCCAGTCCTATACACAGTTGGACTCATTCTTGAAACCTTTAAATGCTCCCTCATAGTTTTTCAGTTATTTGGAAGTTGCATTGGGTCAAACCGAACTCCTTGAGTTTGGTATAAATTCCTTTTTTGTGCTTACTATAGTGAAACTTCAGCACGTTTCTTAGTAAACTCCCATACCATTGAAATGCTTAAGCCAGTTGGCTTTCAGTCTCATGCCTTATTTCCTCCAAGGCATGCCTCGACGCGTTGTTTGTCTTATTGCTTAAATATGTCCAGAAGGAATGATCATGTATCTAATAGACTACATAGTCGGTTCCCTTGGGGAGTTATATATCATACGGTTACTAAATTTTTGTCTAAATTCATTTTTTCCAAAAACCTGCTCTCAAATTTTTCTTCTACTCTCAGTTCATAAATAATATAACCATTGAAACAACACATCAGCCTCTAGCTGATCCTCTGAAAGTAGCCATTGAAATAATCAAATGCTGTGTGAACAGGAAAGGAAAGCATTACCTTTAAGAGAAGCTTTAACATAGGAATTTATTGATATTTCATGAGATATAGGTTTACAGAAGACATTATTCAAATAAATATGTACACTATTTGCCTGATGCTATGGGGTACATAATTTTTTAAAAACTCCCTTAGACCAGCAGCCATTAGTGTAGAAATGATGGACTTTAAAGGTGATACCATGTAAGCAGATGTTGCATATAAAAATATTCCTGCCTGAATCTGATTGAGATTCTTGAACAGGGGAGGAGTGGCTGCCGGCAGCACATTGCAAATGTCATCCGAGGTCACGGTGAGGCTCTCGGTCCCGGAACAGTGGGGTCCTCGCCAGCCGTTGCCAGTATCCTTTTCCTCCTGTAAAATCATAGCTTTGTGTTACACGACTGCTTATCCAGTCTTAGGGTTTAGCAACTGAAAGGTTTACAAAACCGAATCTGGTTGAATCTCTGTGAAAGGGTCAACACATCTGTCGGCATTTTGCACACTTATGTATTATTATGATACAACATATTACTTTATGGTAATTTTTATTTTTACATATAACTACCTCCATAAATTTGATGAAATGGCAGCCGTGTGTTAAAGTGTATCGTTCAGAAGCGCAAAGTTGAACACTTCCTTCAACATTAGGGCATGGCGTGCTGTGTGTGTCAGTGATTGCCTCTGTGGACTCATGACTTTCCATCGCCATGGCTTTCTCTTACGCCCTTGTTTGGCTTTCAGATGTAATCCTGTCTTCTCCTCTCTTCCCCACGAAAGCGCACTCGATTTTGTTAGGAATGAACGGAAGGTTAAAAATTCTTGTGCCCACCCCCGCCCCCCACCCATTCCTGTTAAAAGTTCTCTGGCGAAGAGCCAATGGGTGAACGTAATTGAGAGAGCTATTTACTCCTTTGGAAATCTGATTTGAAGTCTAAGTTTTCAGTAACAGAAGACACACAAGCAATGTGGACTGCCAAGCTTGAAGCACTTCGGGCTCTGCCTTCACTCGCATGCTACCATGTTGAGCCCAAACTCCACTTTAATTAAAAGAGCTGTGCTGTGAATTCCACAACTTCTGTTAAATAATTTGTATTCCATTATATATATTTTGCACATCTCAGGGGACCATAATAAACATATGAATGGGGGGGTGCCATCACATAGAGAAAACAAATAGAAGAGGTGAATGGAGACTAGCTGGATAAAAATAACAAGTTACTGCTTCTCTGATGTGAAGGTCGGGTTCAGGAAGCGTCAATTCACAGTTAATCTGGAATAACAATGATCTGAACACCAGCTGTTCCCAGGTCCCTCTTTTTCATAGCCCAACCAGCATTTCTAAAATGTAAATTTAAATTACACTGCAGTCACCATGGGGAGAAGAAACCTGTTCAGTGGAAGCAGAAGCATCGTTCCTTTTTTAGGTTGGCGCAGCTTTGCAAAATTCTACCCAGGATAAACCACTTATCACCACCAAGTGTACTTGAAAATAAAGTTTTTAACTTAAATTACAAGCATATTGCTCACGATACAATAGTGATCATTTTTTGAAAGTCTCACCATTTATAACATGGGCAGTATTTGGAGCTTGATTTAAAAACCAACAACATAATGACTTTTCACGATTCACTTTGGGATCTCAAAGCGCTTCCAAAGCATTCAGATTCACAGACAATTCACAAGACAGGCCATCTTTGTAATGCCCATACTTGAAATGAATAAAACAAGAGGAGTGACTTAAGATTCCCCAGAAACACAGTGGCAGCTATCAATGATCTGTTTTCTATCTGTTTGATAGACCAGCATGAGAAATCACTAAATATAACGCTATTTTTCTGATGTGTGCTAATAAAGTCAAAGAAAACAAATACAACTTGACACTTTTGTCCATTTTCATTCAAAAAAAAAAAAAGTTCAGGGTGTTTGGAATTTTACACCTCAGCACACCTTACTGGTATCGATGGATGAAGCCGGTGACTGACAGATCCACCCAAATGCCATTGCAGTCGGAAGCAGATCTGGACACACACCCTTGTTTACAGTTTCATACTGGGTTTCTATAGTTTCTGTGCTAAATCATTCAGGAACACGACTGCTCCTGGCAGTGGAAGGTGCTGAAACAGAAATTTTAATTAAAAACTTTATCAAGTACTCTTCACAGTGCTCCTTAGCACCATAGAAATTCAGTACAGTATATCGAGCCCTACTTTGGAGGAGCTGGATTTCTGAGGGAGCTGATCCAGTTCTAAGTGTTTTCTCAAATTAGGAGACAGATGATCTTTGACAGGGATCTCCTCCGTCACCACAGGCCAGTCACAACTAGCCATGTGCTGCCAGACTTCAGTGGCCCAAGCAGGAGCAATCTCTTCTTTCCCCGGTCTCCCCCAGGACCGTCCTGCCCATTGTCAACATCATCCAGGGCTCTTCTGGTAGTGATTGACATTTCTACACATGTTTAGGGCTTGGGGGAGCTAGAACACAGGAAACATGAATGCAAAAGGCACGGAAAACACTGTTTTGCTTTGGGTTAGTAAAATGTGGGCAGGAAAGAGATTACTATCAGTCTGAGCTTTGCCAAGTGAGATAAAAGAATCAGCTGTCGCCCCATTCCTCTCCCAGAAGGTCTTATGGTATTAAGGATCCATCCAATATTCTCCCACAGATTTTTATTCAGGAGATGTTTCATAAATTACATATATGAAAACATTCATTATTACATTTCATTGTGTGTTTCACACAGACATTGGCACCTTCCTATTGAGTTAATACTCTGCATCTTTTGCAGCAGCAGCAGCCCACAAGGAGATTCCCAGTGATGGCTCCCCTAACACACAATCCTGTGATTTTACAGTTCTATGACTTATAGTTGATGATTCACAAGATTCAGAATTCTGCAAGACTCAAGGGGCACTAAACTTTCTTACGATTGTACATGATCGGTTATAGGGCTGTAATCATTAATTGTTGGCTTCAAATGTGGACACACACACACACACACCATGCCAAGGAGGAAAGGGGGTGTTTCAAGTCAGGCAGCGATGATTCTGGAAGGCTGGAAATGTAAGGTTAGAAGCTTGACTGGTCCATGTACAGTTGCCTGCCTCCCTGTCCCAAGGCTGATCTTAGTGAACCTGTTCCCTTGCTCCCACCAAGAAGAGGTACCAAATGTGAGAACTGAGATCTCCTCCAATATCTGTCCTCTGAAGTTCCAGGAAACTAATCATGAAGTACACACGCAGCAGCTCCTCCGCTTCCTTTCCTCCGAGGTCCTCCTTTCCATTCTCCCACCTAGATAGTGACACGCCGTGACGGTTTCCACATAGGAAGGGCAGTGCACTGTGCAGTATGGCACACACTTGCTGGGTGAGGAATAGAGCTGCCCCAGGGTCACCTTCATGCAAGTATTGACAGCTACAAATTAAAGTCCTTAGAGCAGTTGACACAGATACTACGTTCTAGAAGAGAATTAAATTTAAACGTCAAGTTTAAAGGGATCATAATTCTGCAGGTATCTTTCTCTGAGTGACTGAATGTGACTATTGCATTAGGGTAAATGAATTAAGATGTGCAAGTGGGATTTACTGTATGTTAGAAAGGAGTTTTGCAGCCAAGACTGCCTTGAATAAAATGTGTTTGCACTGAAAAAAAATTTTAAATTACTTGGTCTCTGGTTGCTGTAAAGGTCATCCAAGATGGATGTTCTGTTTATATTGTATAGTATTTCATATGAAATAATTACAGTTCATGAAATGTCTTCCCTAATGTTACTGATTTATAACAGCACATTTGTAACATGGTTTTTATCGTGTCCGTGTACCATACTGTAAATGATGATTACTTGTCATGCTTAGTATAATAACTTAAAAGAAAAAAAAGGACAGGGATTTTTGTAAGTCTATATTTGAAAGTCCCTCCCTATGGTGATACTGTGTTCATGTTGTTTATGTAGTGTTGTGTGAAATATCCATTTTGGATTGTGTTACTTTTTAAGATATTAAATAACATTTGGTTATATGTCTTAAGTGGATTTTTTTTTGGTGCTTGAGAGAAAATATTTTAGGTGAGGTTCATTTATTTATCTTCGATTAATAGGATTTTATAACATTTTTGATTACACAATATTATTAGAGCTTCTGAGTTAAAACAACTAAAAATGAAAATATCTGATCAAAATTCTTTTTCCATGAAAGTTGGGGGGAAAATCACATTTTTAGGTAATTGGATTTAAAACAGAGCAAGAGAGATGCGTATAACTACATTTTCTATATGAAATGATAAAGTGATGTGATTAGGTCTGGGGTTTCTTTTTCATTAGCACTCATATCTCAGCTTTTGTTCCTAAGCGGAGGGGATCCTCTTCCCGGTAAACACGAGGAGGCTGCTCACATGTACCAGTGAGTCACTTGCACAGGTTCGGAATCCCCCGTGTTTAATTGCCTTCAGCTGTCATACATTCTTCTGCGTCCCTTCACTGTAGCAAATCTTTGCCCGCAGAGAATGGGCTTTTTCAAACCAAAGGGATTTGCTGCCCCATTAATGATGAAGCTAGGAAATAGTATTCTCAGTCAAAAACAATGAGCCATAAAGTCGAGCCTGATTTTCTTATAAAGGCAATATCCGAAGGAGACTTCCAAAAATTGTTGTGAACAGTGACAGTGTCTTTGGATAAGTGTCTGGAGACCGCAAGGTGACTGCTTTGAAGAACAAGTTGTATTTTGTTGCGTAAGTTTGTCTATATATTTCAAACTGTCTCAATACAGACATTTCGTTTTTCAGGCATGAAGTTAGGAAGAGCAGGAATACTGGGAGTATATTGTGAGTTTTACTCTAGGACCAAAAGCAGCTGTGGTCAAGGAAAGGTAACTGTGTGTTCCTTTCAGAACTATCTAGTGAACCGAGGAAACGTGGGGACTTAAGGAGAAGGCGGAAGGAAGGATTCTGATTCCTTGGAGAGAATGGTCACAGTTCATAAACATGTTGTCTTTCCAAAGGAAATGGTATGGTTTTAACTTATTTTTAGCATTTAGAGTGGTGGGTTTTCTCCCCCTCCTTAGAGAAAATTCAAGCAGAGTACTCAATACTTGCCTCCTTCCCTGGCGTTGGCCATGAAATCGAGAACCACTGAGTAATCAAAAGAAGTTATTCACCTGACCTTAATACTTCATTTAACTGTACAATCTGATCCCTACTGTGGGAGTTCTTGGATTTAGAACTTGGATCTTGGTCCCCCACCCCACCCCCGACCTTCACACTCAGTGGCTCCAGACCTTTCCTGTCAAGCAAATAGTTAATCGTATGTGATTAATACATTTGCACAGTACATTGCTCCATACAGGAATTTCAAGAAAAACCAAGGCACCTGTGCTCAAGAGAGGCCGAATAGGCTGCTTAACTGCAGCTCCTGAATTCCATCAAAAAAATTCCTCCCAGGTCACTTTCCTTCGCGTTTTCCTTGCTTCTCATCCTTTATTGTAAAGTTCCATGCATTATTTTTATTTTCCATTACCTTGAGTTTATTTTACTTTACTACTCTTCACTTTGCATAGTAGCAATGATTTTCATTTGTTTGTTGTTATGCTATTAATATTTGGACTCACTCTTGCTCTCTGTTATTGATAACCACAATTGATCACTAGTATTTTAAATTTTACGTTTATATTGTCTTTCCCTCCTTGTATCCACAGACCACTGCCATCCCTCAATCTCATTTCCACTCTCACCTTTGCACTAAGAACCTTTGGTTCTCCAACACTTCTGTAGATATCTGCCACCAGCTGAGTCATCAGAGGCCTGATAAATGGTAACTTGCAGATATGCATGGATGGATGGATGGATGGATGGATGGATGGATGGATATCGTATTAGACCAAAGGTGACTGTATTCTTACAGTCTGAAAATGACAATGAAACAAAAGGACATATCATGCAAAAGGATATTTTGTGATGTCCATGCAACTCCCTTTTAAGAACTTATCTTGGGAAATTATTTTGTAACCTTCTTCTATCTATGCTTCAAGCCAGTGCCTACCATTCTTTACTATACAATATATGATTTATTGTGGGAAAAGTTTTTTCTCCCTGAAAGACATCTCCTTTTTTTTTTTTTTTTTTTTTTTTTTTTTTTTGACAGTCTCGCTCTGTTGCCCAGGCTGGAGTGCAGTGGCACAATCTTGGCTCACTGCAGCCTCTGCCTCCCAGGTTCAAAAACTTTCATTGAGAGCTGGGATTAGAGGCACCTGCCACCACACCCAGCTGATTATTTTTAGTAGGGCCGGGGTTTCACCATGTTGGCCAGGCTGGTCTTGAACTCCTGACCTCAGATGATCCACCTGCCTCGGCCTCCGTCCAAAATGCTGGGATTACAGACGTGAGTCACCGCGCCCGGCCAAACACCCCCTTTAAAGTTAGTAACAGCTCAGTGGGGTAGTAATCAGCAGACCCATCGACACAGTACAGCTTCACATTGTTTGTCACTGTTGCTAAAATAAGTGAGACAGATAACTAACAAAGCTTAAGTGCATTGGAGAAGACAGCTTTTGCCCCTCTTGTTTCCTTCATGTGTTATTTGAAGGCAGTTCATGAGAGGACATCTGTGTTGAATGTCAAAGGACCAATATTCAGTCTGGGAAAGTGTTAAGATTCTCTGGAATAGAACAGTGAGCTTGGAAGCAGAAATGGTCATTTCTACACTTCTCTCCCTTCCATGTCTCGTCTCTTAATTTGAAGGGGACTTAATTAGGTGGATTGGGGCTCTAGATGGCCCCCAAGAAGCCAGACAAATGAGCATAGTAGAAGGTATCTTTCACAATTGACTTTTGCTCTAGCCCAACTGGTGAAAGGGCCAGCACTTTAGAAAGACTTGCCTCTGGACTTCAGCAGTCAGCATTTTTGTAGAGAGTTTTTGAGAATGAAGCACTTCCAGTGCATTTTAAAAATAAACCTTTTATAACATTTTTAGATTTCTGGAATTATTACAAAGATAGTACAGAGAGTTCTTGGATACCCTATATCCAATATCCAATTTCCCTTGTTATTATCATTTCACATTAATACAGTACCTTAGTCACAATTAATGAACCAATATTGTTACATTATTGTTAAGCAAAGTTCACCTTTTATTCAAATTTTCTGTTTGTCCCACTGTCATTTTTTGTTGTTCTTGTCCCAGGAGCCCAACCAGGATACTATACTACAATCAGTTGTCCTGCCTCCTTGGTCTTCCTTGGTCAGTGACAATTTCTGAAACTCTCTTTATATTTGATGTCCTCGGCAGTTTTGAGGAGTATGTGTCTGGTGTTTTGTACAATGTCCTCAGTTTGAGTATGACTTATACTTTTGTCATGAGTAGGCCAGAGTTATGTGTTTTGGGGAGGAGGACTACAGAGATAAAGTTCAATTCTCATCATATCATATCAAGGGTCCATCCTATTCGTTATGACTTATTACCACTGTTCATGTTAACCTTGATCATCTGGCTGGAGGTAGTGGTTGTCAGCTTTCTTCACTGTGAAGTTACTGTTTTTCCTCCATTTCCATACTGTTCTGTTTGGAAGAAAGTTACCATGTGCCACTTAAGGAGTGGAGAGTTAAGCTCTACTTCCTTAAGGGCAGAGTATCTAAATAAGTTGTAATTCTTTTGTATAGAAGATTTGTCTCTTCTTTGCCACTTATTTATTTATTCAATCATTCTTAGCAGTATAGGTTCGGATATTTATGTTATACTTTGGGTGAGAGTCTATTACCACTTGATTTTATTGCTCAAAATTTTCCAGCTTTTGCACTGAGAGCTCTTTAAGTTGGCTCTTGTACCTTTTTGATGTACCCCCATCGTTGTGGTTTGTTCACATGTTTTTGAGCACCTTCTTAACTCTCTGGCACTATAAGAAGCTGTAGGCTCATTGTGTATATTTCCTGTCCCAGTCTTGGAATGAGTCATTTCTCTAAAGAACACTGGTGTCTTTTATTGGAGAATGGTATTAGAAACCACCATCTGGGTGCTGGCGGTGTGCATTACTCCTGGGGAGACATTACTTCTAGGTCTTCTCAGCTGACAGAGCAAGGAGGTATATGTGTGTATGCTCACCTGTCCACATACACATATCAATAGATGTCACTAAATGTAACCACCTCTACTTCTATTAAGCTAAATGTCATGCTGATGTCTCCAACTCTAATGCATCGACATGGATCATTCTAGCCTCCTTTCTTGCTCATCTGTAAGTTCCCACTCCGACAGTGAGAAACCCGGCTCTTACACCTGTTATCCCTTTGCCGGATTGCTCAATTGCAGTATACACATATAGTAGGTCATCCACTGCATTTTCTAAAACTGATTTGATACATACGGAAGTAGAGACAAGTGAAAGTGTTTCTCAGCTTACTCTAGTAGGTGGCTTACTTCATGTGACAGTGCGGTGAAGATTATAAACGTGTTAGTGAGCTTATTTGGCCCGAGTAGGATTGTTCTAAAGGATGTAAGGTCCAGAGGGAAGAGGAGCACTATTGATTTTATTTAAGATGTGTACTTCCTTATGCTGCACTGTTAGAACTTGGAAAGAAGCGATGTTGACTTAGTATACAGACTAAATGTCTGGTGAACCGCTACTTCCTCCTCCCGACTTCTAATCTCTGAATATTTAAATTTTTATCATATTTCAAGGTCCAGATCAAATGCTGTCTCTTTCACAAGGCCTTCTCTGAGTACCCTTCTCTGCTTCCATGCCCTGAGAAGATGGCTTCTTTTCCTCCCTTACAGTAGAGCATTCATCATTTCCAATCCTATGTTCTCGTGTTTTGCCTTATAGACAGACTCTGCCCAAGACCATGCCCTCGGCTAAACAATTTATACCACTTTAATATTATTTCCTTGATTTCCTGGCTGGGGGAGCCTCTGCTGGTCATTGTTTCTAGGTGGCCCTTATGAGCTTTGAAATCTTCAGCAAGAAATGGGCTGGGTGTGATGGCTTCAAGCAGGATTTCAAAAATGCTGTATGCTGTGGTCAGGGCTGCTTCTC